TGTATTGTACAGCATTTTCAAAGTCTGCCAGCATTTAATTTTGTACAGCAAACGTACAGCGATTCGGATCCCATCATAATTAAGTTTTCCTTTAAAAAAAATTACGAAAAATTGTCCGTCAATAACTAACGACATTTCTACATTTGCGAATTACGTCATTTACGCCATCATTTCCCAGAGTATTCTTTTCAATGCTAACTACAGTGGCTAAATAAACCTTTACATACAGTGGCGACGATAGAGGTCCCGCCGCCATCTTGTCCCAACCTCTTGTTACTTTTAAATATTAAATATATAGAATTTAAATGGACATCTATCATAAAAAATTGTTATCGACGTATTTGATGACCATTATAAAGTCCATCAAATACGTCGTTTTCCATGATTTATGATGGATGTTCACCTAAATTCCATATATTCATATTTAAAAGTAACAAGAGGTTGGGAACAAGATGGCGGCGTTTTCAATATAAATATATGGGATATTAGAACCAATCAAAAATAAGACAATTGTCGCCAATGTGGTAATAGAGTCACTGTAATGCTAACTACCTTTTTTATCTCTCTCTCTCTATTCCACGCTGTTAAGAGAAAGACACAGCATAATAGGTATGTTTCTGCAACAATCACAAACCAGTCAGCACGAATTTCATTGGTTGAAAATAGTCAGCAAGTCAGAAACAGTCAGAAAACTAATTTCAACCAGAGGTTTGTAAAGTTAATAGGTTGTCTGGTAATGGTAAACAGATGACGTCATCAGAGGGGGGATTCTCATCCTCTAGTCACAACTTATCTTCCCGACTCACTGTAGAAAGGCAATGGGATAATTGGGATAGTCGAGACGATAGATTGCCACTAGAGGATGAGAATCCCCCATCAGGAAGATCTAATGGAGATTTGCATTATTTAAGGCATCCAGATGACGTCTTAGAAGTTATCAGTCAACCTACCTCTTTCAAACAACCTTGGTTTCAAACATTAAGGTTTTCAACCAATGAAATTCACTCTGACTGGTTTGTGATTTTTATGCGAACAGACCTATTATGTTATATCTTTCTTTTTCTTTTTTTTTTGTTAAGTGGTACTAAGTCGACAAAAGGACCCCGCAATATTTAAATGGAAATTGGTTACCCGTGATATTTGGATGAAATTTAAATATGTTATCGGGGATGCCGTAAGCAACATTTTTTACCATGGGCACAACCCTGTATATATGATATATGACAGGTGAGGCGTGGTTAGCTGTCAAATATTGGAATCTTATATCCAAAAGCAGAGTAACTATGGCAGATTTTGATGAACAAAAAATCTATTTCTACTAAGTCGACCAAGTTAAGTCGAAAAATGTTAACCGTTTTAACACCTGTCAAAACCCTGCCAAACGGCGGCACTCATCTTTCCCAGTTTTCAATATTTCATGATGTCATTTGACACTTTTAACGTGTATGTAAATTCTGAATTCAAAAAATGAAAAAAAAATGACAGAACTGTCAAAACCTGTCATTTGTTTTAGTAGAAAAAATACTCTAATCTGATTCTTTTTTGTTTCAAGGTAGTTTATTGGTGATAAAACATTAAACAAAGTTCATGCATGTCACATTTTGACAACTGTCAGAATCTGTTTTTGCTTTTTGGTTCATATTGAGTTTGTTTGCTTAGTGAAGTTCTACAACTATAATGATAGAATAATACAATAATACAATAGAACTAAACCTTCACTAAGCGAACAAACTCAATATGAACCAAAAATCTATTAACAGATTCTGACAGTTGTCAAAATGTGACATGCATGAATTTTGTTTAATGTTTTATCACCGCTAAACTACCTTGAAACAAAAAAGAACCAGATTAGAGTATTTTTTTCTACTAAAACAAATGACAGGTTTTGATAGTTCTGTATTTTTTTTTTTTTTTTTCAATTTTCGAAAGGTACAAGTTGAAAATATCAAATGACATCATAAAATATTGAAAACGGGAAAAGATGCTGCCGTTTGGCAGGGTTTTGACAGGTGTCAAAATGGTTGACATTTTTCGACTTGACTTGGTCGACTTATGGCCATTTCCACCAACTATTTTAGGGAAGCCCTAACGATAGGTATGCCTTAAACTGACATTTCTCCATGTAAAAATGTCATTTTAGGGAATACTTATCGTTAGGGCTCCCCTAAAATAGTTGGTGGAAACGGCCATTAGTAGCAGTGATGGTAACACGTAGGGAATTTCCCTACAAGTAGGGAGAATTTGATGTTTTTTTTCTGGTGTAGGGAAGAGGGACAGAAATTCGAGAATTGGAAAAATGTAGGGAAATTCAGAGATTAGTCGTATATTGTATAATAAAGAACGAAGAAATATTTTGTCAAATACAAATTCCGATTATCGATCTAACTGCTCACGAGAAAAGACTGTTAGGACTAGGACAAGAACACTTAATCTAATAGGACTGCTATACCCGAGTTTAAAACAGTATAGGTAAAAAAAAAACGAACTCCTAAGAGTTATAATTTTGTTAAAATCGCCTTGTCTACATTTAAAATCTAAGAAAAAACAAGCACAACCTGAATCACAAACATCCCATTGAGGCCTGCGAGTGACGTCACCACTATAAGCTGCTATGCTGCTAATAGTGGTGACGTCACTAGCAGGCCCTGTCGACTGATCTGTGACTAGGAGACATCCCTACTTTATCTGTTTGCGTTTGCATTTAGGCCACCCACATTACGTAAGAATACTTGTTTTTTTTATGTCCTAAGTCCTAACTTGAAACAGGAAACGAATAACGTGTAAAGATGAGCCGACCTAATATAAAATAAAACGTGGGGAAATTGTAGGGATTTTTTCTTCTGGTTGGTAGGGAAAATTAGGGAATTTTGTTTGTCTTAAAAGGGAAATCGTGAAAAAAATGTTACCATCACTGCTTAGTAGACATCGATACTTCGATCATCAAAATCTGCCATAGTCACTCTTCTTTTGGATATAAGATTCCAATATTTGACAGCTAACCACGACTCACCTGTCATATATACAGGGTTGTGCCCATGGTAAAAAATGTTGCTTACGGCATCCCCAATGACATATTTAAATTTCATCCAAATATCACGGGTAACCAATTTTCATTTAAATATTGCGGGGTCCTTTGCATCTAGTGCTTTCTCATCCACTCACCTGTTCCAAAATTTTAGATGTGTACAGCATTCATACGAAAAAAATATGGTCACCCTAATGTTAAGATTAAAAGATTCAAACAAGTTTAACAAATTGATAGTAGATCTATTATCTGTGTTGTCAAAATCAATGTTAAGGTCACCAGCAAGTATAACCGTATTATTTATAGGAAACTGGCACAACAGAAATTCAAGTCTTTCCAGAAAGACGTTTAAATTACAATTTGGGGATCTATAGATACAAACAATAAAACATTTTAATTTTTCGGAATGAATAATAGAAAATTCAAATTGCATTTCGACAAGCAATTGATCAAGATTATCAAAATTACAGAAACTATCAAAAATACATTCATCCACCAAGGCAACGGTACCACCATGCAAGGAGTTCTCTCTACAGAACTTCGAAACAACAAAATAACCCGGAATATACAGTGGTTCATCAGGCCTAAGCCAATGCTCCTTCAACAAAACAATATTAGGAAAACCCAAGCCCTCCAAAACAATAAACAGATTATCAACCTTGTTACGAACAGATTGAATATTTAAAAGCAGCAAAGATATGCTCTTGTCAGAGTTTTTTAATCTAAAAAAGAACCTTGTTTAGTACTTGGCAATTTTTGATTGTTTTGGAAACAAACCTTACATATTTGTCACATTCCCAATCTGAGTAACTCAAAGAAAAAATTAAATTAGTGTATTTACCGATAGAAAACAATCTTTTTAAATAAAATAATTTAAGAAAACCAATAGAACTTAAGTTTATAGTTACTATAACATTATCCATACTATTAAATCCCACCGTCAAATTAAAGAGCTTGCCAGCCATCTGGGAAATTGCAATAGCAGAATGACATTCTCCATAGATCCAGTATTTATTGGTCAAGTCAAGTAGTCCACCAGCCACACCCCTTGAAATTTCGTCACCAAAAACCAAGATGTTGTTTTTTCTCTTGGGATAGGCTGTACCATGTATAGGTGGAGGAGTATACTCTGGTGTTATAGAGCTAGCATTTTTATTCATTTGCTGATCTATGACCGATAGTTCGTCAAACAGAGATCTTTCAAGTACACCATTACTATTTGAGGAGGATGCTAGGTTCAGCTTCCTGGGAGAACCATGGATACTAGTAAGCTGTTCTTTTAGATTTTTTAGCTCGTTCGAGAGGAATAGGTTTTCACTATCTAGTGCCTCCACTGTAGTAACCATTTGTTTATTGAGATTTGTTAGATCGGCTATTTCATCTATGAGGGCTTCTTGCTTTTCATCAGATTTGCTAGTTAGGTGAGAATTAGTCTGAGTAGAGTTATCTTGAAACAGGATTTTTCTTAGAAGAGAAGTTTGAGTTGATGAGGACGTTAAGTTCTTTGATGCGTTGGTGTTCTGCTTTAATGATTGTTGTGTCAACTGAGCCAGTTTTTGTTTAAGGTCATTATTTTCTTGAACTAGTTGATCTTCTGAAGATTCTGCCTCTTCTAATAGAGTTTGTTTATCCTGTTTCAATCTATCAATGTAGTTTGTTTTGTCATGAATTTCAGTTTTAAGCTCGTCAATTATTTGTTTCAAGCTTGCTATCATGTCTGGGTCCGAATCACTTGCTAAATTCGAGCACTCAGCAGAACATAGTATTAGGTTATCCTTAATTATTACCACACTTTGGTTGAGTCTTGATCGACAGCTCTTATGAAAAACATTGTGGCATAGCATACATATCCAGTTGTTCTGTGCTTTATTTTTGCAGCATTTAAAGGAAAAAGCCATTTCAGAACAAAACTTGAAGCAGAAACAAAAAACATCAATTTAAATTATTCATAGGTTTATTACTCATATAGGTATTTTTCTTATTTATAAACGTGTGTGTCTACCGCTACCGAACAATATTGGACTGGGACTATGAAATAACTATTAACTATCTACCAAAAGTAGCTTAAGTAACTTGTTTTAGTAGCTAGTTACTTTTCACAGTAGCTTATGAATACTTGAAACACATTACCAAAAGCTACAGCTACAAGCTATTTTTTTTTCAAAGTAGCTTGAATAAGTTATTAGCTACCAAAGAAGTAGCTAAGCTAGTAGCTTAACTACTTGGTAGCTAGCTACTGCCCAGCTCTGGATTTGATACAGCCTAATTTTTGATTTTTAGTTTGTTTTTTTCCTCTCACAATTGTGATTCGGGTAATCTGGGTTCTACTGTAATTTCAAATGCTATATTGAATGGCCTATTTACACTAATGCAAATATAATTCTTATTTGCTACTTGAAAAAAAAAGTCCCAGTGTTTTCTTGAGGCATTTTTAATTTGTATTCACATAATCACAACTTTGATTCTATTGGTATCAATAATCGTTCCATTACTATAGCATTTAGAACATGTTTGAAAAAAAAAACTTCTAAAGTTTCAACAATTTCAAATATATTCCCCCTGAATGATAATAACGACATATTTTCACTTATTTTTCCTTTTTGCCTAAATGGTGACTTATGACCTAGCAAAAGTAAAAGTTTTCTGAATCTTCCCTCCTAGACACTTCCGTCTTGTGAAATGGTTCCAATAACTTTCAAATAAAACTTTGCGTTAAGGTGTCATTAAACCAACTGAGAGTCACTTTTTCCACCTTTATTCTCCAAATGCTCCTATGGCAACCCAATATGCGTCTCAAGGGCTGTTCCAGTCCTGAGACATTTCTGTCAAGCAAATTGATAATCTTGAATAATAATTTCCCATAAGAATTATCCATAGTAAATTCTGTTGCGACAGACGCCATACTTTCTAGCAGTTTTATCAGAAAAACTGGATCGGCTTCATACTTTAATAAGGATTCTAATATCGGTATATGCTGAGACTGTAGTTTGTCCATGTTTGTGAAATCCCTAGAATTAAAGACCCTTGTTAAATATGGATGAGAGTGCTTGTTAAAAATGAAAGCAGTAATAATTAATCAATGAATAATGAAAAAATTGTAACTTATATTCACCTCAAAATGAGTCTCTTTTCATCATTACTTAATGTAGAAACATACTGCAGCAAAATTTCATTACAATTATTGGCCTGGGCAAGTTCCTTAACTAATGCAGTCTTTAGAATATCACAATACTTTTGAAATAACTTTGAAAGTATTTCTTGGGAATGGTAACTGAATTCTTGTTTTGCCTGAAAATAATCTATAAAATAAATACATAATAGCATAATTATAATTGTTATAATAACCTTTGGCAAAAATAAAATATTTATATAATATTTAACAAACAAATCAGAGCAGATGTGAATGTCTTTAAGTGAATTCCAGAAGTTTTGTGTATCTTCCAAGGAAAACTCTTTGACAAAATAGTTGAAGCTTCTCTCCAAATCTACATCATTTACATTCAACAATTCATCTAATACAGTTTCGGGTACTGTTTGGTTAACTTTTAAACTCATTTTTATTGTTTCTAGGAGCTCATTTAAGGAAGTCTTATTGGAATCGCTGAAGGATGTTAAAAAAGGATTTTCAGTTTTCAGACTTGGAGTTTCATAAGTTGAATTTGGATTAAGAACAACTTCAACATCACCAGTGATGTCAATACATACTTTTTGTTCGATGTAGTTTTCTAGATCTTTCTTCAATTCTTCACTCTAAAATGCAAATTACAATTTTTCAGGTCTAAAATACAAATTTTGACAAGGAAACCAAAAAGTTTCTGAGAACTTAGAAAAGCTTATAACAATACTATAGTAAAAGAATCTTTACATTTAAATTTTTTGTATAGGACTGTCAAATATAATAAAAATCAGGAGTGCAGTGGATCAAGCTTTATCATGTTACATTGGAAAAATTACATTAAACTAAACACACTGGTGTTTTGCAATTCACAACAGTATGGCGCTTTAAGAAATATACCTTCCTAATCTCCATGTGCACATTTATTTTTTGTTAAATTTCAGAGCTCTTGGAATACTTTTGCATTCTTGAAAGTGAAAATGGGGACTGGGGACGCTAATAACAGCTGGAAAATCTAAGTGACAATAATTTAATAGTTATACCAAATTGTAAAACTTGGGGTAAGTATAGTGCCAACTTAAAATTATGGAAAAGAGCTGTTGAAGTTAAGTGAAGTAGTCTATAAGGTACGTCTGCAGTGTGCAATTTATAAATGAATCAGAAAACTGGAACGTCTACTACATACTTTATGAAAAACTCAAAAACTGCTGAAATCCACAAACCACATCACATAGAACTCACCAATGGAAAAAAACCCATCAACCTGTTGTGTTCTTCTTTATTGCAATATTTATCAGTTTTGTACTTCTTTGAGGTTTTAAGGAATTCCAATACGTCAATTTTGATGTTTTCGTTCCATTCTTGCCTCGAAAAATTCATTTTCATTCAAACCTTTCCACGCAATAGGGCAACAAGTACAGGATCTGACAGTTTGACACTATTGACATTCGCCTAGAGGTAAAATGGGTAAAACAGAGATACAGTGTTTTTTAGGTTTTTAGTTGGATTTTTTAAAATAAATACCTTTTGTGTGCTCCAGAAGTTTCTTGGACATGCCTAGAGTTTGTTAGTTGTTATTTGTGGCAGTATAACGCAATGGATACAATATCCTTCCATAGGTTTCCATCAATTTTAAATAACAATGGGAGGTTTGATTTGTTAGCTTAAGAAAGAAGAGAAAAATTGATTTATGTTGTTAAAAGAGAAGATCTGACAGAATAATAGATTGAATATAGAGTAACTATACTTATATATTTGTTCTTGTGCCACTTGGTTTTGATATTTGTTGGAAAAAACCTGAATTTAATCCATTATAGAAAAACCTAGCAAAGTTTTAGATGAAAGACCACATAGACTGGAACACAAACACTCCGCTCTAACTTTTTTAAAACAAAATAACACCAAAACTTGTGAAAAAGCTGTGAAAACCGCATAAAACATAACTGGCCTAATCTAAACGAATGTAAATAAATGATTTGTTTTACCTCAGGGCGACTGTCAAACTCATTTGTGACGTCACATGGACATGCCCTATTATATCAAAAATCTTTGATGTAAAAGTAAACATAAGAAGCAAAAGCATCCTCCAACAAAAACAACAGCATGAAAAACATAACCTAAAATTAAAATAATTTATCTCTTTCTCTTCTTCTTCTTTTCTTTACGAACTGTCCCTGCTGACAACAGCATTTTTGAAATACGCATGTGCTGACATATGTTGTATTCCTTTCACACCTAGGAGGAGCTCCGGAACAGCTCCGGGGCTTCACGCGCTTATTCCTTTCAAAAAGTGTTTGTTGCACCACGCATCTGTTCCCTGCAAATCAGGGGCGGCTACAAACTCTTGGAAGGAATACAACTATAAAATCCGCAACGAATATCGCAAAATATTGAACCAATTCCAATTTTCCCGCCTCCTTAATTTCAAATTTTGCGAATTCCCAAAATTATTGAACTCTGACAGATGTCCCTTTTTTTGACAATGGACTGACCAATAGGAGCGGCTTCCGCAATTCGTGATTCGCATCTAATGAACTCCATTTAAAGCCTAGTACTCATAACTGCGAAATTCGCATTTTTTTGACATTGCTTCGACAATTTGACGTTTGATACACGCATGAAACGTCAAATTGTCAACGCAATGTCAAAAAAATGCGAATTTCGCAGTTATGAGTACTAGGCTTAAGTCTTGGGCGAATCGCCGGGCACACTCGGAGTGCGCTCTCTATCGGGTAGTCTCTGCACTGGACGTCGCCCGGACTCTCCAATCTGAACGCGCCCCAAGTGAGTGTCCGGCATTGCACTCCACGAAGCAGAACGGTATGAGCATGAATAGTTGTATTTCTTTCACACCTAGGAGGAGCTCCGGAACAGCTCCGGGGCTTCACGCGCTTATACCTTCCGAAAAGTGTTTGTTGCACCACGCATCTGTACCCTGCAAATCGGGGGCGACTGAGCACCGGAGCGAGTAGCTCGAGTGTTTCAAACTCTTGAAAGGAATACAACTAATATCGTGACGTTATCGTCATACGCAAAGTGCGCCCTGCCATAAAGACCGAAGATCGAAAAAAATCCTGAATCTCATGTCACAGTTGTTACTAATCTCAAAAAATAGTATATTGTTTTATTAGGAGTAAAAGTGTTACTTCTTATGGCAAGACTAATACCGTTTTCTGTTGGTAAAACTCGTGCTGCACTCATGCAAAAATTATGTTCTGTTGGCAGTTTCCGAGCGGGTTTTTATGTTCTATTGGAAAACCAGGGCAATCAATTATTGCCCTCGTGCAACTTTTCCAGCACGAGGTCAGAGAGCTCGTGCCAATGTCAGGGCACAACAAAAATGACGTAAAGTGCCGAAAAGTCTGTGTATAAACAAAACCAAAAAATTATGGATATCGATATTGATAAAATTCTATATTTTTTATCTTCGTCGAGCGACAGCGATGAAGAGGAAGAATTATTAGGTCTGTTTCTGCAGAAATCACAAACCAGTCAGAGTGAATTTCATTGGTTGAAAACAGTCACATATGTCACATATGTCACCACTAGTTTTAACTTAAAACTAGTTTTCTGACTGTTTCTGACTGTTTTCAACCAATGAAATTTAATCGGATCTATTATATTATATACAATCGCAGACCTATGATGTATCATTTTCTGTTATTTTAGCAGCAACATCAAAATAGACATAGAAATAGATGTTGAGCCTTAACACAGACGTTGATATAACAGGACAGAATACATCATAGGCCTGAATGTTTGCCAGGGATAATGAGATACCAAAAATTCAAAATTTTATTATTGAAATTGACATAAAAATTAATTTCAACGCAGGTATCATTGGAATTATTTCTGCACATCTCGGGAGACAGCATAATTATGTACTTTACATACAGGAAAAACTTCCGTTTTCAACTTTTTCATACACACAAACGTTTTTAATTTTTATTCCATTGAAAATGTCTTCAGGTTAGGTTAGGGATCAGGGATCGTTAAATAATAAATTTTAAAAGAATGACAAAACGCGCCAAATTCATGTTCTTTTGAGATTGCACTAAACGCGAACTGATTCAGTGTTGAGTGCAGAACTCGGACAGCACGAGTTTTACCAACAGAAAACGCTATAAATGTTTGACGGCCGAACGTAGTGAGGCCGACAATTTTAGACGAGCTACAAAAAGTGCTTTTCTCCGAATAAAACATGCGATTTTTTCTGCAAACGATGTTCAAAGCGATAAAATCTGGGAAATTTCTGTGACGTCACTTTTTTGTCCGGCCGTTAGCGTACAAAAAAGTACTTTTTCTACTACCATGCGTAAAGTACTCACTTAACGCACCATTCAGAAGATGTAAAATTTCACTTCACGCACTAGTGCGTAAAGTAATTCATTTCACACACTAGTGCGTAAAGTAATGTCAATGACAGATGTCAACACTGTCAATTTGGCATGTTTCTGGTAAATTACTTCACGCACTAGTGCGTAAAGTATTTGTCCAAATTCATTTTTTTACACATATTTGATTGGTAGTAGAAAAAAAATTGTATGCAATACGTGCGTAAAGCACCTTTTTTCACTCATGTGATTGTCGCACTCGCCTTTGGCTCGTGCGTCAAAATTCACATTTGTGAAAAAAGGTTCACTTTACACACTTGTTGCATAAATAACTATTTTTGTACGCTCACAGAACGCGCCGTCAAAAAAGTAACCAAAAAAATGACGTCCGTGAAGTCAAACTTCAACACAGGGTTGTTATACAGACCAATTTTTGAATGTGTAGTTTTCCACATTGAAATTGGGTACATTCAGGCGGTCCCAGCAGCTAAGCTCAGCCACTCAGCAGGGACTTTATTCTCGAAACCAAAGAACAGCGTTCTCATAAGAACGATTGCTCTGTCATTGTCAGTGTTATGCCGGACGACAAAGACAGAAAATTCGTTCCAATGAGAGCGCTGCTCCCGTTTCAAGAATAAAGTTCCTGCTGAGTAGCTGAACTAAGCCGCTGGGACCGCCTGAATGTACCCATTGTGTAGCAATTCAAGCAATTAGGCAATCCAACGATGTGCAAAATATGGCCGCCTGTTGGCACCAATGAACTAGAGCTAAAAACTGGAATGCGCACACAGTGCCATATCTGCCAAAAAAATGTAGCCATGAAAGACAGATGCCACAAAGGGGAATGTTGTTTTTCTCTGTTGCTCGCTGACATATGACGTTTTCGAAAGTTTTGTCATATTTCCCTTCACAGGTTTCATCAATTGGAATACGTGTTAGAAGCAATTTTCGCCATTTAACATAATGAGTGCGACAAAAACAGGTATCCCCTCCGCAGCAGCCGCACTAGGCTTCACGTTCGTCCTTATGTGTTAGCATTCCAGTTTTTGGTTATAGTTCATTGGTTGGCACACATATGCCCATAACCCTAAATTTCTTGTAAAATATGTCTAAATAATTGTGAGTGTGCATTTTTTTAGGTCTCAAAACTCACAAAATTAAGCAATAAGCAGCAAAATACACAGAAAATGACACACCGTGCGTTCGTTATTTTGATCAGAGTTCTCCGAGCTTGAATTTACCGTTCGTTTATTCAAAAAGTGTACTCGGAACAGGCTCATTTGCGTTCCTTTAATAAAATTTTGGGCACTCGGATACTTTGTTCAACTGCTCTGTTCGCTCGCTGGTCATGTGATTACGGCTCCGCTCAGTACGCTCTGCTCTTTGAGCAGAATACCGAACGCAAGGACAGTATTAACCCAAGAAAATCTTTTGTGTGCCAACAATCCGTCAAAAAAAGTCACGTGGTTTGGATTGCCTAATTGTGCACTGTCAATTTGAAAATCGGCTATGTTCCGAGTTCCGATATCAACTGGCAGTAGGTACTGGATTTTTTGTGCTGATTTTACTGTCATTTGCCGTTCCAATTTCAACAGCGTATACTCTTGTGGCCATTCAGTACTGAATCGACTGAATCCAGTGTACTGAAAATAATATCGGAACGGCGTCCAAATTCAGTACTGACAGTTGATATCGGAAGAAGGTCTGTTCGTAGAGGAATCACAAACCAGTCAGAGTGTCGAGTGAATTTCATTGGTTGAAACTAGTTTCCTGACTGTTTCTGATTGTTTTTAACCAATGAAATTCGCTCTGACTGGTTTGTGATTTCTCTACGACCTATAAGCATCAAATAGCACATCAAATAGGCATCTGACAGCAGACGCTCGGAACATCTTTTGTTTCGCGTAGCACAACTAGAGAACAGTGCCCGAATTCAGAACCCACAATTTGATAGAACGTCTATCTATAGGTCTGTTTTCACAGAAATCACAAACCAGTCACAGCGAATTTCATTGGGAGAAATTAATAAGGAAACTGGTTATTGGCGATTTGGACCAATCAAAAACGCTCTGACTGGTTTGTGATTTCTGTGGAAACAGACCTTATATTTATATGAGGGCTGTTTCTGCAGAAATCACAAACCAGTCAGAGCGAATTTCACTGGCTCAAAACGATCAGAAAATTAGTATCAACCAATGAAATTCACTTTGACTGGTTTGTGATTTCTGCTGAAACAGGCCTCATGGGCAATACTATTGAATCGTGGGTTCAGAATCCAGGCCCACAGATCTCGACACTGACACTCAACGCTTACGACATCTTTTGCCACTTTGCAGAAGTGGCTTAATTCACTACTGGGGTGCGATTTTCGAAACCATTCGAGTACATTTCGTATACGAAATTTGATATGATTTCGAATGCTCCCCATTTAATTAACTGCTGTCAGACAAATTTCGTATACGAAATGTACTCGAATGGTTTCGAAAATCGCACCCCTGTTTCAAAAATTTTGAGTTACGGAATAGGTGATTTATCCAGTAGAATTTCTGTGCAGTTTATTGAAAAGTGTAGCAAAGATGAAATTGGTCGTTGGGATTACAAAAAATTGTTTTGTTTTGATTTCAATTTTATTTTACTAGTGAACGAATCAGTGTCGGACTGGCCCACCGGGCAACCGGGCAAAATCCCGGTGGGCCAGGTGACGTCTTCGACAGGTGGGCTATTCGAATATTTACAAAAATAATTTAAAAAATTCCCACTTCCCACGCCATTGATCATCAAATCTATCATATCAATATCAGCACCCTTCTGCTCTGCAAAAGTTGAAGCCGAAGTCGCGTAGAAATCGCCTGTCGCATATCAGTGAATTTGAATTCAACTGACGTACCCGTTGTTGATTTTTAGAAATACAGAGACAGGGTAGTGAATTTGTGAAAAAAGCCACATCCTCACATTGGTTTGGGTTTTGATTTGTTTGTTTTTATATACCGGGTGTCCCACCGAAAAATGTCAATGGCCTATGTCTTGAAAACGGAAATCGATAAAAAAAAAAGAAAACCTTCTTCCTCAGTGATGAGATGACGTCAGGTCTTAGTTGATTCTAGCTTTATCATTTAAAAATCTCGACCTGCGTCTCCCTCGCTATTACTATTTTTTTTTTATACACCCTAGATGTCCGAGAACAGAAAGGTAAAAAAGAGGAAGTTATACAGGGTGTCTCAACGGGAACCAAATCGATCTATACCTAGATATATGAAAAACTGTATGCAGAAATTTTTTGAAAATTAGACAGTATACCGGGGCAACCCGGCTAAGATATTTTCAAGATTATTATAATTATTATAAAGCATTTATTGCAAAAATTCCAAACAAACGTCGATATATCAACATAATATGAAATAGGAATTACAATAATATTTATTTATGATACAAGTGCGTTCATGAACATGATTACAATAACAAGTGTGAAAGATTAGAACGACGAGGTCGTAGACTGAGTCGTTCTTATCAGACGAGAAAAATAACAAAATGTTTTTTTCAAATTTCGTTTATTAGTAGTTGTCTTCCTTCATTTTACTTTTACAGATTTAACTATGAGATTTGTCAAATCACAAAAATTAGTTGTATTATAGATTTATAACCTAGTCCATAACACCACTAGTCGTGTTATGAATTCATAACCTAGTCTATAACACCACTAGTTGAGTTGTGTTATGTGTCACATGACATAAGTAACTCAAATACTAGAAAAATGGTTATGTAAAAACGTCATAACCAAACGCTTATAGATAGAGTCCCAAAAGAATATGAGACGGATGTAGAAAAAAGAGCGATCGCGAGAAAACGACAATTATTAGAAGCTACAGCATCCAACCAACAACTGACTAAATTTTTGGTAAATAATAAGAAAATATATATAAGCAGGTATGTGCAGAAAATCCGAGAGAAAATCTCAAGTACCGGTACCTAACCTATTTTTTTATCTCTAATATAACAAGGTACCAGATTCAACAAATGATTATCAAAATTGTTTTTATTGAATGGGGGTTCGGTTGGGTGGACCACTTCATCATTTGCCCGGTGGGCCAAATGACCCCCAGTCCAGTCCAATAAGTAAACTAGTAATGGACCTGAAATAAAAGTAGAAGAGAAATCTGGAGAACAAAACGGAAACGCAAGCCGCAAGCCGAAATAATTTTTTCCTACGAGCGTGCGCAAAGTAGTACTTTTCCGCACGCATTTTCGTTCTCAATGTTACACTTTTCCGCACTCAGTGCGGATAAAGCAGGACGCGCACTGAATCGATTGGATAAAGCAGGACGCGCACTGAATCGATTCGGACCGGTCGACTCGGCGAAGAGCAGTCGGTAGTTTTTGACACTCATGAAATTAAATGAGGCTCCGCGCACGGCATCGGACTCGTCGACTCGTCGTGGCTTATGTTCCGATATCAACTGTCAGTGACAGTTGATATACGGCAAATGACAGTGAAATTAGCACAAAAAATCCAGTACTGGCAGTTGATATCGGAACATAGCCGTGGTCGACTCGAGAATCTTATCAAATCTTCGTCAGAATCTAAAGAATTCATTTTCATCTTCTTCTGCTCCTCTATACTCGACATTTGGCGGACGTCTGCCGGCAATGCGAATTCAATGCGCGGCTGATGTTGATTTTCCAATCGCTCTATTCCGAGTCGACCAGTCCGAGTCGATTCAGTGCGCGTCCTGCTGGCCTGTATCCGCACTGAGTGCCGAAAGGTAAAAATAATTGTCAAGCAACAATAAGTGCACCTGTCGACTTTGACGAATGATGACAAATTTTTTCTCTGTTTCTATCAGCCAACATCTATAAAAACCTTTGATGACGCCTTGAATGCGCTAGTGACGTCACTAAAATTTAGATCGACTGTAGCCAAAAATAAAAAACTTTCCTTTTGTGGTTTAACGTTCTTCGTTGTTATCATGATGATCGCTGATAGGACAGTGCTCAGAGTGATGCTAGTGCTGAAAACTGTACCTTTTTTCCAGCAAAACCAACCAGTACGCTGTTGAAATCAAAACGGCAAATGACAGTAAAATGAACACAGGATTGTACTGGCAGTTGATATCGGAACATAGCCTCTATACCGTGCGTTCGGTATTTTGATCTGAGTTCTCCGAGCTTGAATTTACCGTTCGTTTATTTAAAAGTGTACTCGGTGCAGGCTCATCCGCGTTCGTTTATTAAAATTTCGGGCACTCGGATACAGCGTTCAACTGCTCTGTTCGCTCGCTGGTCATGTGATTACGGCTCCGCTCAGCACGTTCTGCTCTTTGAGCGAAATAACGAACGCAAGCATAGTTGTATTTCTTTCACACCTAAGGTGCTTTCCAGTGACCCATCTGACTTACTCCTGAGCAGCTCAGGAGTGCTCCGCAATTGCTTTGCGCGTTCCAGTGCTTAGAGTGTCGTACACTTGAGCTACTCATTTCTGTTATCCCCTGCCCCCTCGTGCACCAACCCTTTTGCCTGTGTTTCATGCTCCTGAAATCCGAAATGGTGGGGGTTGACGAGAGCGTTCCAGTGCTGCTTATGTCGAACAGTTCAAGAGCGTCACACTTTAGGACCATGATATTCTAACAATTTAGGCACTGGAAAGCGGCTCTAGGATGCGTTTGAAATCACCCTGGGCGACACACCGAGTGCACACCCAGCCATGATTAGTTGTATTCCTTTCAAGAGTTTGAAAAACTTGAGCTACTCGCTCCGGTGTTTAGTAGCCCTGATTTGCAGGGAACAGATGCGTGATGCAACAAACACTTTTCGAAAGGAATAAGCGCGTGAAGCCCCGGTGCTGTTCCGGAGCTCCTTCTGGGTGTGAAAGGAATACAACTAATAGATCATAGCTGGGGCGAGTTCAGGAATGACACACTCATGGCGTTTTCCATTTGTCGTCTCAGTGCAGCATTCAGTGCGCACGAGAATTTTTCTAGTGCTGTCAAAAATGCGCACCAGTGCAATATAAATGGAAAGCAAAAATGCAGGCTCGGCTCGGATTCTCCCTCAGACTTTTTTGGGGTTATGTAAAATCATATGTTGTTTTGTTGTTTTTGTTTAGCACTTGCCGGTTTCTGCTTCCTGCTCTGAATGTTTTATATAGGCTGTTTATTTGTACTTGCTACCTGCTCGAAAAATCAGGATGATCTGCTATTTATGAGCTTATTATATGGGAGTTATGGGACAAGTGAACGCCGGTCAGCTGCTGAGATCTGCTTGAAGCAAGAAAAGCAGTACTTTCAGAATTAATGAAGAAATCATACATAATAAATATTTAGTTCGATGATCCAGATCATTTATTTAAAATTACAGCTTCTTCTAGTTCTTCTCTACGGTTTCAACCGCTGTTGAATTTGGTAGAAATTGGACTACCTATCTATAAATAATTTAGAGTACTTCGCATCAGACTATATTTTTAAACAACAATAAACAATAATAATATACCTATAAACAACGTGGATAAGCTGCGAAAATCGCTCAAATAATATAATTTCGTCATCGAATTCAACTTCGCTGCAGCCAGATATTAAATACAAAAGTGCAACAACTTTTTCTTTGGAAATAAGCAGACATTTTTATGTAGGGTACATGTAAACATAAACAAAACAAACTGCACTTGCTCTCCACGAGCCTCCCTAGCTCGTGCCAAAAAATGCGCACTGAGTGCATAAATAATTGCACTGAATTTCAAATGGAAAATGAAAACTGAAAATGTGCAGTCAAATGGAATATAAAAATTGCACTGAGTGCACCTCCGTGCAACAAATGGAAAACGCCATCAGTGTGATTGTGATACCGGTGCGACGCACTAGCCGTTCATAAATCCTATAGGCACACCGAGTGCGCGCACTCTGTGCCATTCAGAAATTTCCTTCAAATTAAAAAAATGAACAACAAAAAAAAGTAATCCTAATAGATTTTGAGAAATTTTTGAGGAGATGCTCGATTAGTCACACCAAGCGTAGAAATTCATACGAAAGTTGTCGCCAAAGAATTGTCATTTCAGTCACACCCATAAAATCGCACTCACAACCGGTGTGTTATTTCTGAACTCGCCCCAGGTGTGCACTCGGTGTGACGCCCAGGGTGATTTCGAACGCACCCCTAAGAGGAGCTCCGGAACAGCTCCGGGGCGTTACGCGCTTATTCCTTTCGAAAAGCGTTTGCACTGATCTCTCCCTTTAAAATCGGGGTCGACTAACACCGGAGCGAGTAGCTCGAGTGTTCCAAACTTTTGTAACTGAAACGAATACAACTAAATATAAGGGGGCTTTCTTTCATTCAGCGGTGGATCCACCAGTAATCAGCCTATCTTTGTCTAGCTTATAGAAAATAGGAATATCTATCTCATAATGCTGGGAGCAGATGGATCAATTGCTGAATAAAATAAAGCGCCCTAACTTACAGGAATTTTTTGACAGCTACCGGTTTATTGTTTATTCAAAACCCAGCTGGATGCCCAAAACACCGGAAATTATTAAACTAAATTAATAATTGTTGCTTTTAAATGAACGAATATGTAAATTGAGGCTTGATAAAGCTGCATTTCTGTTTAAAAAGTGTTAGGGAGCGTCAAAATGCTCAAAATTAAAGCCCTCAATCAGGAGGCTTCTTCAGATGAAGATGTTCCCACTATCCGAAGAGAAGCACAGGTGAGATTTTAATTTATATTAATTTCCATTTTTTTGAGCATTTGCAATGCTTCAAAATACACAGAGAAGCATATTATGCTCGTACTTAGGCCACTTTCACATTTTCCAAAATCAAAATCATATTTGAAATCATAGATTTTTTGAACTACTGCGAAAACGCGGACTAGGAAGGTGACGTCAGAGTCCCAAAAATGTTTAATTTTGAAAATATCTAGGATTTACAAATATACACTGGTGTACGTAAGTACTCTTCAATGTTTGTGTTCACTGTTCAGTGCAGTATCCAACTCGGGCTCCGGTACACTTTACAGACACACGATTTTGCAAAATTTTAAATTTCATGAGAAAGAGGCTCTTCTATAGAGTATTAAAAAAATAAAAAAATTTGCGGATTATCCAGTAGTTTCTGAGAAATCAATTATTTCCACTCTGTGTTGAGTTGATGCTTGTTCACGTTAAACTACCTATATTCTTTGTACATTTTTCTCGTGAAACAAGGAGCAATCTGTTTCATTTCAAAGTGTTTATTTAAAAAAGGGGTTTTCACGTTTTTGTGGATTTACGTTTCCGAGGATCTTTTTTTGGAGATTTGGCGAGAGGAGCGAACAATCCAAGAAAAAAAAAATAAATAAATTAAATTTCAAGGTGTTATATTTGAAGGTGCACTATAATTACCTCAAAACTAGACATTTTTTCTTTATAGACAGTTAAGTTTTATCTCAAAATAGTTTACGGGGACTAGCACGCAGTACAAAGATGGGTTAGTTTGCATGTTTTTGGTCAGTTTCAATAAAGCACAGTAGTTACTGTTGGTTAGAGTGTACGAATTTCAATAGTTAAATAGGTATTATACGCTTTATCATTACTCAATAATGTTTTTTTCGAAAAATGGTTTGAACACTTAGCTCTTCTTTTAGTTCGAATATCTACCACATGATGCTTTTTATTTTTATCTGCTAACCAGAGCGATTGTGATATTAGGCTGATAAGAATAGATATTATATATTGATCTGTGTCAAAGGTTGAGAAGAGGATTCACTCAATATTTATAAAATCCAATTTATACCTAGTTATTTGCGCCAACGTAACCTTTTTCTCAAGTTTTTCTTTTTTCTTAGGGTTTTTTTTTCCTTCTAAATGCTTATTAAGATGACAGGTTAGTTTCAGTTAGTTTGGATTTACTCTGTTTCGTTTAAAATGCCAACATACTAGCACTTATTACGAGCACGTGCCCAGCTGTTTGGTTTGGTTTGGATTAATTAGTTTTTAACAGAAAAAAAGTACCTACATGATCCTCAGATTTTTGGCTTTTAAACTATACTATACACCACTCCTCACTTTTTGAATTTTGAAATTTTTGTAAATATTGAGGTACTTATAGTGCACCAGCCCCTATTTAAAAAAAGGGGTTTTCTGGTTTTTGGTGGATTTACGTTTTCGAGGATATTCTCTCTGAGATCCGGCGAACGAAGCGACAGCATCGCGAATATCACATTTTCAACAATTTAAGTTGTGTTTTTTTAAAAAAATACTGGATAATCCGCATTTTTTATTTTTTCAATAAACTACTCGAAGTACCCTCTTTCTGATAAAATTTAGAAAAACGCCAATTTTGTGTGTCCGTGAACTGTGAAGTGTATTGGCACCAGCACCTCCAACTCAGTCTTTGGAAGTATGTATAACCAAGAAGAAAGAAAGATTTTCTGCTAATTTTCTTATTTTTTATATTTCGATATTTTTATTAAAGTGAAAAGTGATAGATACTATACCCTGATGCTTTCTAAATACAAAATAGTTCTTTTATAAAGATTTAGGTATGTTTCAGACCTGGTTTCAGCTAGAAAGGTAATTCTGGTTTTCTTTATATCTTTTTTACATATTTTAGTATTTGTTTTTACATTTATACATTCATGTTTTTTCTATTCCAGGCTCTTGAATTTTCTTTATTTCAACAAATCCAAGAGCTGATAATAGACAAAAATTGCACTGAAAAAATTGGGAAATAGAGAGAAGAAATTGAGAAATATTTGATACTTCGTTTAATACACAAGTAGACATTTTGTTTCTATTTCAAGCTTTTGAATTTTCTAGGTATATTTAAACTTCACAACACAACAATCTTTTTTTAATCAAATCCAGAAAGTTCCAATTTGCTGGGATGACTCAAAGTATTTTCCAGGAACCTTTAAAGACAATTTTACAGGAACTTTATGATTTTCTCAGGTATTAGTGGATAAAAAAATTCGCAATCTCAGTTGTCAGTTTCATATCAACTTCCAATTTGTTTTGTATCATGAAAAAACTCTAATTACCTAATAAATCCCTCGATAAATCCTAGAAGTTTCAAATTGCTAGGATGGCTGAAAGTATTTATCAGGAGCCTTCAATGACGATTTTACAGGAATTTTATGATTCTCTCAGGTATCAATAGTAAAAAAATTCGTAACTTTAGTTGTGAACTTCATAGTTACCTACTTCTAATTTGTTTTGTATCATGGAAAAACTCTAATTAATAAATCCTGAAAGTTTCAAATTGGTGGAATGACTCAAAGTATTTTTCAGGAACCTTCAAAGACGATTTTACAGGAATTTTATGATTTTCTCAGATCTCAATGAGTAAAAAAATTCGTAACTTTAGTTGTGAGTTCCATATCAACTTCCAATTTGTTTTGTATCGCGATAAAACTTTAATTAGTAAATCCTGAAAGTTTCAAATTGCTAGAATGACTCAAAGTATTTTTCAGGAACCTTCAAAGACGATTTTACAGGAATTTTATGATTCTCTCATGTATCAATGAGTATTATAAATCGTAACTTTAGTTGTGAGTTTCATATCAACTTCCAATTTGTTTTATATCATAAAAAAACCCTAATTAATAAATCCTGAAATCTTCAAATTACTGGAATGGCTGGAAATATTTTTCAGGAACCTTCAAAGGCGATTTCACAAGATCCATAGTCTCAAACTCATTCTCTTTCAGGAAGAAATAGTCCTCGAACTGTATAACAACGCTCTAAGGGCTCAAGCGCAAAAAGACTATGAAAAATCAGCCAGCACCTTGGTGCAACTTTTGGAAGAAAACATTCCCCTACTAGAAAACAATGGAGGCTTGCCCAAATCCATGTCCACATTGAAATATTCTTGTCACGTTAACTTGGGTGATATTTATTTGAAACAAGACAACCCCAATAAAGCCTTGGAGAGCTTCACAGAAGTAATTTAATTACTCATATAATTTCAAAAACTAATTTTTCTTTATATTTAAGGCTTCAGAATTGGATGCAACAGATGTAACTCTGTGGACAAAAATAGGCAAACTCGCCTTGAAACAAGACAAATTCAACAAGGCAGCGTACGCGTTCTCCAAAGGGCTAGAATGCAGCGAATCGCATTGGCCTTGCCTGGACAACCTCATTTCTGTTCTTTACGCCATAAAAGACACAATTTCCTGTTTGGTTTATATAGGCAAAGCTCTAATGTTAGACTCTGAGTATATAAAAGGCATGGTTTTGAGACAGCAAATTTACACAAACAATCCCGCTACAAAAGAATATTATCAGTTGTACAATTCAGAACAGTAAAAATTTGTATTGTTTTAAATGTTGTCTACTATAGGGATTTTTGTAGTATTTGGGAACCAGCTGATATTGAAATCGATAAGGAAGATAAAGAGGAAATTTTAAAAGAAGCTGAATTGTTGTGCAACAGAGTGACTGAAGCTGAGGATTTGTTGAGGTTTAAAGGGTTTGAAACTATACCTTTGCCTAAAACTTTGGAAGATTACACTTGGCTGTCTTTAGCTAAAACTGTTATATATTGTCATCAATATATTACAGATCATAATATGGTGAGCATAAGATTGTAAATTGAACTGAATTGAATAAATATTTTTTAGGGTCATTTAACATTATTTGATATGAGCAAATGCATGAGTCAATCAGGCGAACTGAAAATAATAGAGGAAGCTCCACTGGCCAAAGAAAGCAACAAGTCAAGTGATACAGATAATGCGGTTGAAAAAATCAACAGCGAACCTTCAACAATAGAAAGAAGGTTTTCACAAACCAGCGAAAATACTGGAGGCAATGATAATCAAGACAACACACCATCACAAACCGATAACGATGAAGAACAAAACATAGACGTTGATAATGACGTCGACAACGACGAAACGGATCCTGAAACTCAAAAACGCAAAAGTAAAAAACGCAAAAGAGATGTTTTAGTGGATTTGCAAATATGGGGTTGGCACAGCAAACGTAAAACCCCCAAAAAATCCAACAAAGATTTTACAGTTGAGGATGCCCTGAATCGTGTATTACCAAAAACCTTATTGAAAACTAAAATAACCAAACAAGCAGTCAATCAAACTGATGATTCAATGAACACCATGGATATTTATAATATGTATGTTGAAAATGAGGAGCTCAACTTTTTGTCTCCGATACATTCACCTAAATCTGTAAATTTTGAGGCCTATTTTGGTACGGACAGAGAAAAAGACGATGTGCTCAATTTTTGGACCAAGGAACGTTCTAGAATCGATGCCATTGTTTTAATCAAAGAATTAGTGTTTGAGTTGGCCAAATTGTGGCAGTACAAATGGCCCAAGGAACTCGTGCCTTTATACATCAAGGTAAACGATTTTTATTTAGATACATTGAAGTTAATCATCAATTTTAGGCTTTCCAAATGTTTAGAGAACATTTCGACCAACCTCAACCTTTCTGTGGCGATCACACCTTTGAGCAAATCAGAGAAGATGCATTGGCGTCCCTCCTCTACTGTGAATTAGTGACTTTCAGCTCTGAAACATCAGAAGCAGCCCACCCAAGCATATTGAGCTACTTGCAGATTGTTAGTAGCTGGAGTGAAGATTGGAAAGATGAATTTTCGATATTCTTTACTAGATTCTATTGGCTTCAGTCGCACTGCCTCAGAAAAACTGACTTCAATGAAGTGGCAATTGTAGCTTTGGAAGCTGTTCTTGCAGAAATTAATGTTAAAGAATCCAATGGGGATAAATTCTCTTTGAATATACCAAACAGCTTTAAGTACGGTTACATTTCCAAACAAATCATTGAAAAAATAATTAATCATTTGAATATGATTAATTCTTTGGGTAATGTAGAGCAATTGTTCAATGCGCAAAATTACACAGAAGCGGCTGAAATTTTAAAGCAAACCTTCCTATCAGGGATTTATTCTAAAGTGGGCAGAATGGGGCGTCCCGCACAATTGGGTATTTTAATGCACTCCCTTTATTACACAAATTGGGAGGAATGTTTTATTTGGACTGAAGAGTGCTTACATGAAGCTGTAGTGAGCTACTCAAAACCTAATTCAGATCAAGACAAATGGGAGATGATAATTAAAAAATGCCTACTCATATTTCAGGAAATTATTAAAAAGGAAACTGTAAGCATCATTGATAAGCTCAAAGAAGACAAACGGTGCAGATTAGTTGAAAGTTTAGTTAAAATTGTTTGCAAGCAATTGAATACTGAAAATACTGAAATACCTCTTGGTACTATAACACCGTGGATTTTGTTACATTATGTCTTATTAAGAGAAGAGCAAAGACAATATGCCAATAAGCGATTGCACCAAGCCAAACGATCAGACTTGGACAGCACTTTAGAACCAATAGAAGAAGATCTACCACCCTCAATTGCCATTTTGTTTTCAGCACACGAATTTTTGGGTCCCAAATGTTGGTGTTTGACTGGAAATGGAGAGCTACTACATTTTATTTTGGATACAATTCTGGATAGATTGGATACACCTATTTTTGAGCCGTTTAGAGACAAAATCGATATCCACATAGAGCAAGCATTATTTTGCCTTTACTCATATCCAAGTAAAAAAAATAAAATTTCCCGGCACTTGGTTGACCACAATGTCAATCCAATTACACTTACATGGGAGGATTCGTTCCAGTTGTACCAATATTACGCCCCTGAAAGCTTGCCCGAATTCAACTCTTACAAACATCAGTCAATTTCCAGTGATTTAGAGCAGCTGTTTAAGAAAATTATAGAAGTTGCACCAATGAAGTGCGCCTTACAAGAACACTTAACAAAAATTGAGGAGTTTATTCATGGCAAAACCAAAGAGTTGCCTCAAGCTATGGACTTTCCTGGAAAAGTACGAGCCATTTATTATCTATTAGGTGATTACCACTTTAAAGAAAAAGAATTCGCCCGCTGCATCAAATATTTCCAGCTGGACATTTGCATCAATCCGATGCGATTAGATTCGTGGGCCTCCTTGGGTCTCGGCTACGCGGCCCAGCTGGAAGGTTTACTGAACTACTGCGAAAAAGTCGAAAACGAAGCCGACTTTTTCGACAAAGCAAAATCTGCCCAAATTTGCTACAGAAAAGCCTTGGAATTGGACCCGGAAAACTTAATTTTGTGGATCGAATGTGGTTCTTTTGAGTATATGGTGCACTCGTTTTGTTCTAGATTGATCAAGTTTGAATCTGAGAATTTCAGCATGGAGAAGTAGGTGGTTTGTTGAATTAATAAGGCAATTATTATTGTAATTTTAGGTTTGAAATGTTTGAAACGCAAAAGGAAAGCTATTTGGATAGTTCTGGAGTTAGTTTGGAGCATGCCATAAGCCTTTATGAAACTAGTGGGTCTAATGAAGCTGATGAGCGCTGGTTGCAGTATTATATTTTAGGGAAAATTGCCGAGAAGAAGCGCAAAGAACCTGCAGAATATTTACACTATTATATGTTGGTAAGTGATAATCAAGGGATAAACCACTCCTCCGAAACAATTCCTCATACTACCCGCAAATTCCTCCAAATTTCCCACAGATTCCTCCAAATTCCCTGCGAATTCTTGCAAACTGTTTGCAAATTCCCTGCAAGTGCCTGTTACAAATTCCATAAAAATCCCCAAAATTGTACGTGATATTTTTATTACGCTCAGTGTTAAAACCAATAGGGGAGACTAGGGAGGGTTGATACACTTAATATTTAAATTGAAAAAAGACTGTAGGTATACCTTTTATAAATTCTCTTTGTGGTGCCCTTTATACCTAACTAACTTGCAATTAATTATGCACAGATAAAGTCAGGCAATTTAGGACATGGTAAGAGATATTAGATATTTTAAAAAAACTGTAAGGTGTATCAAGTCTCTCATTGTGAAGGAGGTTTGATACAGTGTACGGGAGACTTGATACAATATTTAAAAGACTGCAAAATACTTTCAAAACATTTATTTCCGCAAAAGTTTCAAAATTACAACGTTACAAACTAATTAATATTGTCAAATTTTTGAAATTTTACAGGAAAAGTTAATTTTCTTGTGGATCTGGCAGTTCCACCCACAAAATTTGGAGGCGGCAACTTCATAACATCTTCTTCGGATACCAAAGATTGATCTTCGACGTCAGGATACACAAAATGATATCCTGGTTTCTTTCGCCGCATGAAAGGACCCCGCAATATTTAAATGGAAATTGGTTACCCGTGATATTTGGATGAAATTTAAATATGTTATTGGGGACGCCGTAAGCAACATTTTTTACCCTGGGCACAACCCTGTATATATGACAGGTGAGGCGTGGTTAGCTGTCAAATATTGGAATCTTATATCCAAAAGCAGAGTAACTATGGCAGATTTTGATGAACAAAAAATCTATTTCTACTAAGTCGACCAAGTTAAGTCGAAAAATGTCAACCATTTTGATACCTGCCAAAACCCTGTCAAACGGCGGCACTCACCTTTCCCAGTTTTCAATATTCCATGATGTCATTTGACACTTTTAACTTGTATGTAAATTCTGAATTCAAAAATTGACAAAAAGATGACAGAACTGTCAAAACCTGTCATTTGTTTTAGTAGAAAAAAATATTCTAATCTGATTCTTTTTTGTTTCAAGGTAGTTTATTGGTGATAAAACATTAAGCAAAGTTCATGCATGTCACATTTTGACAACTGTCAAAATCTGTTTTTGCTTTTTGGTTCATATTGGGTTTGTTTGCTTAGTGAAGTTCTACAACTATAATGATAGAATAATACAATAGAACTAAACCTTCACTAAGCAAACAAACTCAATATGAACCAAAAATCTATTAACAGATTCTGACAGTTGTCAAAATGTGACATGCATGAACTTTGTTTAATGTTTTATCACCAATAAACTACCTTGAAACAAAAAAGAACCAGATTAGAGTATTTTTTTCTACTAAAACAATTGACAGGTTTTGACAGTTCTGTCATTTTTTTTTCAATTTTTGAATTCAGAATTTACATACAAGTTAAAAATGTCAAATGACATCATAAAATATTGAAAACGGGAAAAGATGAGTGCTGCCGTTTGGCAGGGTTTTGACAGGTGTCAAAATGGTTGACATTTTTCGACTTGACTTGGTCGACTTAGTAGACATCGATACTTCGATCATCAAAATCTGCCATAGTCGCTTTGGATATAAGATTCCAATATTTGACAGCTAACCACGCCTCACCTGTCATATATACAGGGTTGTGCCCATGGTAAAAAATGTTGCTTACGGCATCCCCAATGACATATTTAAATTTCATCCAAATATCACGGGCGAGGGGGTAACATCTTCTTGAATTTTGTGACAGTATTGCGACAATCCCCACGATTTTCCTACGATTGCTGGGATTGCAGCTACAATCCGGGATTGTGAGGCGATTGTCAGATTTTGGAGGATTGCATTGTGACTGCATATGATTGTGAATGATTGCAGACGATTGTAGGCGATTGCGAGTGACTGAGAAAGATTTTTGGTAGCTGCTTGAGTTACTGAGTTACACTGACATATTATTATCTAAGGAACATATTTACTTATTTATTTTGGCCATTAGATTATAGATTTTTATTTATTAACCCACAAATATAAATATGAACAAATATATTTTGCAATTTTTTCAAGGATTTCAAAGTGAGTATATGGATATGTACAGGGTCTGTTCCTTTCTTCCTTATAAATAGTGTTTATAAATAGTGTCGCTTCTACAACTTAAACAAAAAAAAAAGTTAAATACAAAAGTTGTAGGGTTTTATCTCTATCATCTTTTACACATGCACATGTCAAAACGGGCAAATGGCAGGTGTCAACAAACATAATGACAAACACTTGCATTTTTTCAAATGGAACACCCTGTATATTTTTGAATAAAATGATAGATTTCTTCTGATTCCAAATATACCATATATGTTGTTATTTGGTTCAGCTGTTTTTACGATATCTAAGTTTTAAAATTCATTTACATTACCCTAAATTAGGTCGGTTCCCGGTTCCTTATATCAATGGTGAGGCTTACTTAATGTAATTTTGGTATGGTATATTTGGAATCAGAAGGAAAAGATCAATCATGCTAGCCAAAAATATAATAGAGATAATACCCTACAACTTTTGTGTTTAACTTTTTGTTTTGTTCAAATTTTAGAAGCCACACTAATTATGAGGAACAGACTCTATACTTATAACAAAATTAAAAACAAAATTGAATGGATAGATTTTTTTTTTAAAGATCTTGAGCCTATTCTCAATATCCACCTTGTCTTGCTTTCTGAGATGGAAAGGACCAATATACAGGGTGTTCCAACGGGAACCAAATAGATCTATACCTATATGGAAAACTGTATGCAGAAAATTTTTGAAAAGGACCCCGCAATATTTAAATGGAAATTGGTTACCCGTGATATTTGAATGAAATTTAAATATGTTATTGGGGATGCCGTAAGCAACATTTTTTACCATGGGCACAACCCTGTATATATGACAGGTGAGGCGTGGTTAGCTGTCAAATATTGGAATCTTATATCCAAAAGCAGAGTAAGTATGGAAGATTTTGATGAACAAAAAATCTATTTCTACTAAGTCGACCAAGTTAAGTCGAAAAATGTCAACCATTTTAATACCTGTCAAAACCTTGCCAAACGGCAGCACTCATCTTTTCCAGTTTTCAATATTTTATGTTGTCATTTGACATTTTTACCTTATATGTAAATTCTAAATTCAAAAATTAAAAAAAAATGACAGGACTGTCAAAACCTGTCATTTGTTTTAGTAGAAAAAAATACTCTAATCTGGTCGTTTCTCGTTTTAAGGTAGTTTATTGGTGATAAAACATTGAACAAAGTACATGCACGTCACATTTTGACAGCTGTCTTTCTTTTCCAATTTTTGAATTCAGAATTTACATATAAGTAAGTTAAAAATGTCAAATGACTACAAAAAATATTGAAAACTGGAAAAGATGAGTGCTGCCGTTTCGCAGGGTTTTGACAGGTGTTAAAACGGTTAACATTTTTCGACTTAACTTGGTCCACTTAGTAGAAATAGATTTTTTGTTCATCAAAATCTGCCATAGTTACTCTGCTTTTGGATATCAGATTCCAATATTTGACAGCCAACCACGCCTCACCTGTCATATATACAGGGTTGTGCCCATGGTAAAAAATGTTGCTCACGGCATCCCCAATAACATATTTAAATTTCATTCAAATATCACGGGTAACCAATTTCCATTTAAATATTGCGGGGTCCTTTCACAGTATAGGTGCTAATGTCAGTAGGGGCAACCCGGCTGAAATATTTTCAAAATGGTGGCACTTCCGGTAATACCGAAAGTAGACGTCAACTTGCTTATTTCAAATGAGATACCTATCCTATGTGATTGCATATTTGGATTCTACGTAAAATTCTGAGCAAATTCATGCAATATACCCTATACCTAAGTTCAACTGTTTTGGAAATATTGACAGTTGAAAATTGAGTTTTTGTAACTTTGATTGGCTGTAAAACCTAAAAGGTTGATTTTAGAGGAAAACCGATTTCACATTCCTATCTTATATTTTCATAAACTATCATTTGACATCAACTTTGAATTCAACTGGAGATTAAATTTAATTGGAATTTTTAATCATGGAAACAGAGAGTTATTGGAACTATTGAATACTGCCTGGCAGTATTAAGGATTTACGTTATTTTATTAGTGCATCAGCACTATTTCTCCCAGAAAATGACAGTTATTGGAAGACTGTAGTATGTGTTGAGTACGAGTTGCCAGAAATGTTGAAATAAGGGAAGTATACTGCCTCGAACTAATCATATATAAATAAAGACAAGCAGTAACCTTATTAAGGAGATCCTTATTTTCAGACCCAAATGCGCATGCGCAGATGTCAAAATAAGGCTATTTTAAATACTGCTTGTCCTTATTGCACCTCCAATAACTCTCTATTATTTCCAAAACAGTTGAACTTGGGTATAGGGTACCTATATGACATGAAATCTGCTCAGAATTTTATGTAGAATGCAAATATGCAATCACATACAGGGTGTCTCATTTAAAATAAGCAAGTTGTCTACTTCCGGTATAACCGGAAGTGCCACCATCTTGAAAATATTTTAGCCGGGTTGCCCCTACTGACATTAGCACCTATACTGTCAAATTTTCAAAAATTTTCTGCATACAGTTTTTCATTTATGGGTCGATTTGGTTTCCGGTGGGACACATTGCATCTGAGACTTCCATCTGTTCATAACTCGGTTGATAATTTTCCGTTTTTACTTGCGTTTTTATTGGAAAATAGAGAAACACAGTGATGATTTTTTCACCAACAAATTTTTGTCCTAGACTTTTATTTTTAAAAGGCTTTAGGGTCTAATGGTATGTGCAAATGTAATGCAGGGCTGGCCGCCAGCACTAGAGCAAATAAAGAGTGGTCTATTTTTCTTGACAGTAGGATT